TTTTTTCATCATCATCAAGTTCCGTTTGAGGTCTGGAGTGAGCTTGATTTCTGTTGAGGAGTTCTCCCCTTTTTACACAAATGGACTCATCCAGGGTATACATATACAACTGCTAGTGAATACCCGGGTAGCGAACGAGAAAGAAGGACGAACGAGCGACGAACCGGAACGAACGTACCGAGCAAGAGTCACAGTGAGGAAGCACGTAGACTCAGTAAGAAGTCATACAGTGATACGTCGATACCAAAGACTGTATATATATATATATTTTGCTACTAACCCGCATTCCTGGAACTACTAACCTGCATTACCAGTTTGTATTATTAGGTTAATACATTTATTTTCTTATATTACTTCTTGGCGTTTGTTATTTATTGGTACCGGATTTCATCCCGGAGTCCACAACAATTTCCAATGTGCGTTCCAGGCAAGGAGCCTCGTTTAGCGCACAACTGTTCATCTTGACCGAAGAAAACTTGTGGTCTGCTCTGTGATGATGAAAAGTTACTAGCTTTGTTTTGGAGGGTGTGTTTGAATGTCTTGCTATCAGGTTGTTCGGAAAATAAATATCCGATTTTAAAATCAACTTTTATTCACCCAGGCAAGGGGTTACAGAGAGATGGAGCAAGAGCAAAAAGTGTGTTAGAGGAAAAGATAGAGAGAAGGGCGGGTATCAGGAACAAGGCATCAGAAGATTTCGATTTACGTTTTGCTTGAGGTATTTTTTGAACAAATCACCCAAGCAAGGTGGGAGTGCCACTAGCACGCATGGGGTTACAGAGAGTGAGATTAAGAGCAAAGAGGAGTTTTTGGGAAAAGAATACAGAGAAGAACGGCGATCAAGATCAAGGCATCAGAAGATGTTGCTTAACATTACATTTGAATACTTTTATTCCTGAAGGAATTTATTTAAACAGTTTAAATCTGTTAAAATGGCAACCCTGGACATCTATTCGTTTCTACCGTCGAGTTGTAAGGTTATTTATGCCTTTACGATAGAACTCCAAATGGTTGGACACTGATAAATCTTCTTTGCAACGGAATATCTTTTGGCTTTAAAAAAATAGTCGAGATGCTTAAAATGTGGTTGTCGGTGGGTGAGAGATTAGGGGAACATGATCAACGGGTCACTGACTAGCATTCGAACTCTGTGAGATTTATCAGGGTCGTCAGCTTACGGTCAAATCACGCTGAAACACCGGTTCTCGTTCGATCACCGAAGTTAAACACCGTAGAGCCAGGTCAGTACTTAGATGGGGGACCGCTTGGGAACACCTGGTACTGTAAGCCCCCAAAGTCCAACCCTTACCTCACAGTCGGTGGGGGGGGTAAACAGTAGCGTCAAACTATGCCGCCCGGAACTTCGTTCTGGTAGGGCCACCAAAGGCGGAAGGTCTGACACACACGCCAACTAACAAGGGCTCTGGTGAAAATCCAAGGTGCGTCTGCATCAGTAACCGGCGGCTTCTGGTCGTTCTGTCTCTGCGTCTGTGGGGAATCCCGCGGCAACAAGAACGCCGGTAGGCCTGGGTACCCTGCTTCTGCCAATTTATCCCAAGAATCTTCTTCTCATAACAGGAAGAAGCCGGCTTAATCCGCCCAGGGTGAATGCCGCATCAGTACAGTACAGTATCAGAGTCGTCCTAGCAACATGTGAACGAGCATTGCCATGAAGCGTCTATAATCCAGTGTCGGACGCATTTTGCTTAACTGAATCTACATTTTATCTGGTAGTAGACTTTCGCAGTGATGCTCTGGTTAGATTCTAGAAAGCTGCCATCGATAACTCAAATGGCGCACCCCGCTGAAATCAGTATATTCTTTGGTGCAGTTTCGGTTTTGGAAAATGGCGATTTCATAATGATGAAGCTATCGCGCTGATCGTTTAAAATTATCATGAAAGATTAATTTCTCATCTCGTGTTGCTATTTGGTCAAGAAATGGTTCATCGGAATTTCGCAGATGCAGCACTTCAAAACGTCGAACTCTTTGACTTTCAAGGAATTCTAGTAGAACCCATTTTGTAAAAAAAATTCCGTGCGACGCACTACGTTCTTTAGGCCTTAATCGGACTAAAGTGATGTTTTGATTCGACTACACACGACGGAAAGAGGACATTGAGAATTACATATATATATATATATATATATATATATATATATATATATATATATATATATATATATATATATAAATTTAATGAAAAACAGACCACTTTAAGGTACCATTACAATAATTTATTTCACCAAAATCCTTTTTAAAGGACTACGGATCATCAGCTAACAATTCAACAATGAATATATATATATATATATATATATATGTGTGTGTGTGTGTGTGTGTGTGTGTGTGTGTGTGTGTGTGTGTGTGTGTGTACCCAAGTATAGATTGTGTATATGGAATAAATTCCAATAACCAACAATTACTATTTTTAAAAGAGTGCTCAATACAGAGTAAAGCGAATATAATTATTTATTTAAAATTATAACATAATATGTAATAAAATCACTACAAAAATAGCCATTTTGTCTTAACACTTCTGGTGTTCTTATCAAGTGATGCTGTTACATTCAACATCATCACTTTGATAAGACACCAGAAGTGTTGAAAAAATGGCTATTTTTTATAGATTTTATTACATATTTATTTTATAATTTTAAATAAATATATATATATATATATATATATACACACACACATATTTATAAACGTTCAATATCTGTCTCAGTCTCTCTTTAAGAATATCTATCTATATATCTACCTCTCTCTCTCTCTCTCTCTCTTATATATATATATATATATATATATATATATATATAATCGTTTATCTATCTATCTATTCATCTATCTATCTATCTATCTATCTGAGTCTGTCTTCATATCTATCTCTATGTATACTAGACCAGGAGCTGGAAATTTTAACATGCGTGCCTAACATGGCACGCCGATGACTTTTTATTCATTAGATTTTTTTAATTAACACCTCAAGCAAGGCTAAAAGTACTAACACGCAAGGGGTTACAGAGAGTGAGAGCAAAGAGTAAAAAGAGGGTGTTTGGGAAAAGAATAAAAGAAGGATGGAGATCAAGATTAAGGCATCAGAAGATGTTGATTGACATTACATTTGAATATTTGAAGATTATATCTATCATGGAAGTAAGTGATTGGAAGGGAGTTCCACTGACGGAGGTGGGATAAGAATCTGTTGGAGCAGAAAGATGGCCAAATTTAGTCCTTTGAAGTGTGGGACCGAGATGCCAACCCAGTAGCACGTTTAAGTTCATACAGTTGGGGTACCAGTGAAAGCAGCTCGTCAGAACAGTTGCCATGAAAGTCGGTTAGTTGGTTGGGTTTGTATATATCAACCACTGCAGGTCATTTAATGCCAAATCTAGTTTTATATATATATATATATATATATATATATATATATATATATATATATATATATATAATAAATCTATTAAATGTATAGCTGGCAACAGTATTTCTTCAAAAATATTATCAGAGGCCTTGCTGTTGGACGTAGTTTATCGTCATGCACCCAGGACACTGCCATGAAAGTATTTATAAAAAAAGACAGAGGAAGAGACAGCACTTTTGTGAGAAAGGACTGTAGACAGATGCCAGATCAGGACCTATAACATTTCTCTTTTATCCTTTTTTCCCTTATGTATACCATTATCTCATGTATTTTATTTTCTTATTTTTTACAGGTTGTGCAGAATGTGACGGTTACTAGCTCAGAGACGGTGCCATTCAAATGAAGCAGAGATTAGTGAAGTTAAAGAATACTGGACTGAAAATGTGGTATAATTAATAAAAAAAATAAAGCCTTATGCTTTTTTTTTCTCTGTCTCGAAACAATCGTTTTGTAGGACTTCTTCTGGTAAAGGACATTTTGAAAATGTTCACAAGAACCAACAATAAAACTGAAGAGAAAAAAAAGAATAAATTTCTCGTGAACTGAGTGAAAAAAACAAGCTGATATTTTATTAACTTTATTTCAGGCAGGCCAGTTGCAATTTAGTTTCTGCTAGTTTTGAGGTTTCAAAAATTTTTGTTGGCACATGGAAACATTTTGCGTCACAGCTTTGGCCGGTTTTGGAACGCACACAGAAAAAGGTTGCCCACCCCTCTATTCGACTACACGTGACCCGTTGGGTCAGGATGATTCAGGTTATAAAACGTTAAAGTTGATTTAAACATCCCACTGAAATGAAAGTTAATTTCATTACTTATTTAACGTTTTACTGATTGTTTACAGCATTTAACAGAAACAGACCTTCCGGAATAAACTTGAACTTTAAATCAGATTAACTTAAAATATGTTTAATATGCCAAAAAATATTTTAAAATCATATTAACTTGAAAATATTTTTTTAAAAAATATGCCAAAAATATATTTTTAAATATTTCAAATATTGTATCTTTAAAGAAAGCTCAAATATAGTTAATTACTCGACAAACAACTGGACGAAACTGCAAAGCGGGATCTCTTTGTGTTTGTCTTTAACTTAAAAATATCTAAATTAAAAAAATCTCCGTTTGAAGAAAGTTAAAATAAAAATATTTACTGTTTAAACAACTCGGAACTCATTATGCGCCGGACGGACGCACCATACAAGGACGCACGCAACCACAGACTTTTAGCATTGTATAGATAGATATATCTTTAGGGTGTATAATCTAGCCGATTTCATTTAGTTTTTGTTCATGCTTCCCTGTATAAGACTTAATGAATATAAAACAAAGTAAACTAAAACTTGAAGCAAGACTAAATTCAAAGAGCTTTAAAAGCTTCTTCTTCAGATTTTAGATCGCTTATCCTTTGAATTTAGCTCAACTTTCGTATCATCAAAGAGAATATTTAATAAAAAATATCAGGTGAGTCACTTTTATCGAACCGCACTGTATATATATATATATATATATATATATATATATATATATATATATATATATATATATATATATTACACCATCTGTATATCCAAGTTTACATTACCTGATATTCCCAAGCAACGACCTACCTAACTACTGACCAAGATCGACGTTGCTTAACTTCCGAGATTGTACGGGAACTGGTGTTTGAACATGATGTAGCCGTAATCCAACAAGAAATTATGGAGAGCCATGATCGCCAACGTCCTGAAGGGACACGGCGATCATGGAAGAAGAAGAAGAAGAAGAAGAAGAAGAAGATTTATCTTTTTAAACTATTCATAAACAAAGTGAAATAGTTATTGTACCGTTAGTCATTTGACGATTCAACTGTCAAAAAGTTTTCCATTTTTATGAGTGTCGGTGTTTTCTTTCTTTTTTTGTATATAAATTTATAATTCACGATTTCTGTTTTTGATGAAAGTGTATATGTGCGCATATCAGCTGTAGCAAAATGAATAATCGGTCAAGTAGTGAAACGTGCCAAATTTGTAGAAAACAACAGGCTCCAAACCGAGCATAAAAAATAAGAACAACTTCCTTAATTCTAAATTCCTATTTTTATTGAAGTTTTTGTAATGATTTGATTCATTTTTTTTTTAACAATAACGCCTGCGAGTGTTAGAACATAAAGCGTCCCTTTTAGAGGGCTCTGATTGGTAAAAATTAAAAATTTGTCAATCCAAATTGCGTAGTCTCTGGAGCCTCTCTTTGAACAAAAAACAACAACTTCATTTCCTTCAATATCTGTCTGTGTCTCTGAGATGAGGTATTATGATTATTTATATGATTTATTCGGGCTGTAAACATTTCGGTCGTTGTACGCTCCGGTCTTCTTCAGGTGATTGGAATTTCGAACCGCTCTTTATTTCTTCCGTTCCCCGGGTAGATTTTTCTAGTTTTACGTGCCATGCCTCTTCCGGATGTCTCAGTTATTTACCTTTAAATCGACTCTCCAAGGACATATGGCCCAATGGATAAAGACGTTGATTCGATCCAGTGACTAGACCCAAAGAGTTGTGTGTTCAATACCAGGCCACAGAGGTAGTGAACCAAAACTTGGAGAGTTGAGTTAAAGGGAAAGAACTGAGACATCCGAAAGAGGCATGGCACGCGGAACTCGAACAATCTACCCTGGTCGACGAAATAAAGGGTTCGGTTTGAAATTTCAATCACCTGAAGAAGGCCGGATCTTACAGCTGCCAAAACGTTCATTTCCATCATAAAAATACAGGTTTGTCACACATTGGAATGCTCTCCTTCGTTGCTTCCCTAATTTTCGGGGCTGTCAAAGAGACGACAAAAAATTTAACAGTATAGAATTAGCTCCTTCTCTCTCTCTCTCTCTCTCTCTCTCTCTCTCTCTCTCTCTAAATTAACCTGCAAACATTTTTCGGTGATTTTAATGCTCATCACATCAAGTGGCTTAATCAGTCTAATGTTACTGATATTGCTGGTATTCAGGTTTTAATTTTTTTTCCGTTGCTCAGTCTCTCAATCAAATATAGTTGCTCTAATAAACTTAATCAACATTTATCTTTACTTGATTTGTTCCTGACCTCCTCTTCTGGCTCTTGTCGAGCCTCACAACTCTGGCATCATGACAATTCAAATCACAAGACTTATTTCTGTTACCAGCATACTGATTGGGATTCATTTCCGGACTTTCTTCGTGACGCTGATCTGAATGATTATATTGAATCAATTCCTAGGTCTGCTGCTAAAAAATCTGGTTCCCTTCGTTGTGCTAGACAGGTTTTTCTCTCCAGAATCTATCTTACACATTTATCTACCATTCATCCTTGCTTTGAATCTGTCACATTTGGTCTGGAAGCTTCTGATATGTATTTAGAGATTCATGATATGATCCAAAGAATAATCTGCAATGTCATCTCGGCTACAGTCACTTTCCCACAGCCTTAACGTAGCTTCCCTCTGTCTTTTCTATAAATATTTTCATGGTAACTTTGCTGATGAGCGTTCTTCTTTTGTACCCAAACAACATTGGCTGTTATAATTAATAATTTCACTGTTGACATTGCTAAATGAAACTGTACACGCTATTCTTGTTTTTTAATAATTTCACCCAAAATAAGGTATGAAAGCTACTAAGATGCAAGAGGTTATTAAGTGTGAAAAAGCTCACTGGGCAATAAAAGGACAGAATGCAAAGAGACTGAAAATGACAATTGACATTACACTTAAATCTTTGAAGATTATAGTTGTCATGAAAGAGAGTAACCGGAAGAGAGTTCCACAAACGAGAAGTGGGAGAAAAGAAACTATTAGAAGTGTTATAGAAGAAACTGTTAGCATAGAACTTACGGTGACATCTAGCCATTTCAACTGTAAGAGAATGAGACGTTGCCACCAATATTGTGATATGGTTAGATTCATAAAGTTTAGGTATCAAAGAATTATACAGTTTAATCTGTAGAACTGGAAGTTTTGCAGAGTAAGTATTACATCCTATTTGCCGTTACAGCGGTGAGAAAGCTACTGAAGCCGCGATGCTAGGTCAGAACGGATAAAATTGCAGGTTCTTTGGATTTTATCATGACTCTCTAAATACAAAGCAGAATTTCATAATAAATCCTATACCTAGACTTTACGAATTTAAACGCCTACAAGATTGGCAGTGAGGTCTAATAATTCCACTGTTGAAATGGCTAAATATAACCGTAAGTTCTATGCTAATAGTTTCTTCTATAACACTTCTCTCTTGTGGAATTTCCTCCCAGCTTCTTGCTTTCCAGTCAAGTTTGATCTTTGAAAATTGAAAATAACATCATCTCACCGAGAAAAAACAATAGAAAAGGAAAAGCCGACACTCACTAACATTAAATATGAACACGGCCACAACGTGCTGACCGTGTTTGGGAAATAAAGCATTCCTAAAATATCAGATATATACGTAAAAAACAAACACATTTAGGTAATAATGAAATTAAAACAAAAATCGTTATTGATAATGGCTTAAAATATAATGGAAAGCGCTCGGAATTACAGAACATTTCGACAGTTTCTACACACTCTGTGTACAAAAAAGAAACCACTTGTTCGGACAGAAGAAAAATTAAATAAAACGCATAATCGTAGTACCTTGTCTGTCGTCTTTAATGAAACATGTATAAATGACGGATTGCTACCTAAATACACAATACATGCACATACACACACACAGATATATATATATATATATATATATATATATATATATATATATATATATAATGGACTCTCCCGTCGGTTTCAACGTATGAGGATCTGACGACTTAATTCATTCAGTTATAAAATTTTGTGCAATAATCTTAAGTGGTACTTAAGACCCGATAGTGATTTACAAAGGAGGCCACATATGGAGCAAGAGTAAGGATTGTGAGATGAGATCACTGTTAGATTGGCTGACATTTTAGATCTTGCTCTCTCTTCTTGAAGATGATTCAGACAAGCAGATTGAAAAAGTCCACTAGAACACGTTGATCTCCATTCTACTCGCTCCAAGGCTAAGCGCTCAACAAGGGTGTTATGTGGTATATTGACAGCTGACAAGTTGCTTTTCAGCTTGTCTTTGTATCTTAGCCATGAGCGTCCTACATTCCTGTAGCCCTGATCTAACTGGCTGTACATTTGGATCTTGGGTATCCTGTCATCAGACAGGATACCCAAGATTCTCAAGACATGACCGGTCCACCGTAACTGAGACTGTATGAGAAACATCTTGATTTCTCCAATATTACACCTATTAAACAGGTCTACGTTAGATGTCCTACCTTGAAGGTTAACTCCACAGATGGCACGCAGACAGCTTTTTATATATATATATATATATATATATATATATATATATATATATATATATATATATATTATTGTATGCGTTATTTTTATAGATATAATTTATTTAAGTAAATGCCTATTTTAAATACATTAAATCTATAAATATAACGTATAAACAGAAAATATATTAAATAATTGTCGGACTTAATACATTTAATATATACATATTATATATATATATATATATATATATATATATATATATTATATCGAATTTTTGCAGATGATTTCTAATCGTCAAGAGATCAGATAGTTAAATTGCAGTTATTGTATTTAACTCAGAAACTCGAAAACTGAATAATTTTCGATTAAAAGACGTTAATTTCGGATATCAATTTATTTTAATTTCTTTATTTCTTAAAGACTTTATTTAATGACGTAATCTAATTTGAAATCGTGTCGTTCTGTATATTACATAATATTTATATCATCAAAGTTTGTTTTTTTCCCCGTTATGGATAGGAACGTGTGTAAAAACAAAACAAAAAAATTAACTAAATTCTTAAAATACTGAAGAGATCTAAGTGCTTATGGTTTATTGGACATTAGGTACTATTTTCACTAAATATATGTTTTCGTTATAGTTTTTCTTATCGTAATATTCAGAATAATGGACTAATATAGTGTTATATATTATATATGGAAGAGCAAAATCAGTTTTCAAACAAAGTCCAGACTGGACAAATCTCTGGTAATCTCCATTTTCCTATATGGATATGAAACATGGACACTGTTGGCAGATACAGAGAGAAGGATCCAAGTGGGAACAAATGCATGAGAAAACTCCTTGGCTTTTTTTATTGGGAACAAAAACCAATGAGTTTGTGCGGAAAAAGGATGTAAGGTTTGTGGGACACCAGGAAAATGGCGTGGTTTGGACACATTACAAGGCACGACACGCAAGGCACCATTGAAGGTGGACGTAGAGGAGGGCGCTAACGTAAAACTGGGTGGACAATGTCAAAAAATGGACAGGTATGACTACCAGAAATTATGATGGCTGCCGTTGATAGACTCTTGTGGAAGAGATTCAGTGTGGCTTCTGGATTCGGACCCCTCCCCACTACGATTACAAAAGTCAAGAAGATGATGATGATGATGATGATGATGATGCATTAAAAACAGCAAGAAAAGGATTGTTATTGGTTAGAAATTAATGTAAGCGTAACTAACAGAATGGGATCATTATATCTATAATTGAAAAGAATATGGAAGAGCAAAATCATCTTTCAAACAAATTCCAGTCTGTACAAATCGCTGGTAGTCTCCATTCTCCTATATGGACGTGATACGTGGACATTGTTGGCAGATACAGAGAGAAGGATC